ATTCCTTCAACATCATCATTGCCGGATCCTTCACATCCCATCCTGGATCCTTCTCTGGTGCTCGTGTGTCCAACTCTGGCTGTAAATCCTGTACAGCAGGCAATCTATCTCTCAAACACTGTCTAACGGCAGCCTTCCACTTCTCCCTTTCCTTGGGAGTCAACAACGTATTTAACAATTGCTGTACATCCTGCCACGTCAGGTTATGGGTTTGCATAATAGTCTCAAATAAATCAGCCATCTCAGCAGGTTTAGAGGACAAAGGACCATAATGCTGTTTCTAATTCAACAAATCTGTCGTAGTAAAAGGAACATACTGAAACATGGACTGAATCAGTACTGCTCCTTGCTGGTCTAACACTGCTTGATCCACCTGCCTCAATGGAGCTATAAGTTCCCGTCTGGCCGCCCTAGCCCTTGGCGCTGCCAATCTTGTCACTACTCCAGTAGCCACAACTATTCCAGCTTCATCCTCCATTTCATCCTCTTCACTCATTTCCCTTCTAACATTCACAGGGAGATCTGCCTCCTCCACATCCCTTTCCTCCTTGGGGGCCGACGGCCTCCCCCTCTGCTTCTGCCGCACAACTGGCTGCATGTACCCAGACACAGCAGAGGCAGCCGGCAGCTCATCTTCAGGCACAGCGGCTGCCGCTGCCGGCACCAGGGGCATGGGAGAAAGGCGCAGTACATAAGTAGGAGATCTGAGGATCAGTTCCTCTACTTCCACCTTTATCTCTTTTTTTACATCTGATATCTTAGTCTCTGAAATCTTCACATCCTTGAATCTCTTTGACTCGACCTGCAGCTTTTCCCCTTTGGGTCTAGCCACGCACAAACGAAACATTTCAGCCTGACATTGCAATAACTCATCTGCCTTCTCTGCCACTGCATCCCCCCACTGATCTATATATTGAAATTGGTTAGGATAGTTTTCCTCATTGGCTATCAGGGAGGTGAGATCATCAATAATTTGATTCTTGAAAGCTTCCTTCGGGGGCCACCCAACATCCATGTGAGGCCATTGGTGCTCACATAAAAACTGCAACCTATCCCTAGTTACCTTGGGGTAGGGGACCTTATATTGGGTATGATTAAAGTACTTATCAAATCCTTTTAACATGCATTCCAGCGGTGTGCTGAGAACTCTGCTACGCCCCCCCCCCATCCTAACAACACTGCCACTGACCTACGGCACCAGATGTTCCAACGGTCACCAATAGTGAATACAGTGGCTTAACCACCCACACAGCCTAACATGGACTTCTTTAGGAGCAACGTCCCGAGTCCAGGAGGGTGATCACGCCTCCTCTTCTATCTTCAAGTGAGATAGGTACCTTTACTTTAACCATATACCCGCCTGCAACACCTTTACACACGTCCTGGCCAGGAACTGGTTCAGACCTCCTTTCCTTTCCCCAAAGGTTCTTTGACTGGCTATCAGCATCGTCGGCTCTGCTGATGAGCCACAGCTGTCTCCCGGAAGAAAACACCCCTGTGGCGCCTGGAGAATTGTTCAGAGGTGGCTTCCCAGCAGGTCCGAGGGGTCAAGCCGCCCTCAGCGAAACATCGCCTCACTCAAGTTTCCCGGCCAATGCACCAGAAACTGTTATAGAAATGAAAGACTTGAGTCAGCTCTTTTGGGAAAGGAAATGTTTTATTGCACGGGTTCAGAGAGCTAATCACAGCAAAAAGTGTCTGAACCCTGAACAAGGGCTTATGTGAACATTCTTATACACCTTAATACATATGCATTTCCTGATCATGAAGTATTCCATACATGGTTATATTCTATAGTTCCTTATTCTAACATAGAAAAACTACCAAGCAGTTTGCAATATATCACATGCATAGAGAAAAACAGGATATTGGGCTGATCAGGCATTCTAAATTTAAGTGTCATCTGGTAGACAGGAAACCTCCTTCGCGCCCACAGTTTCTACTAAACATCAGTATTTTTCCAGCTTCACACTTTAGGCTTGAATTTCTTTTTCTCCTATAAATTATTTCTAAGTGGAAACAAATATTTGCCTAAAGAAGAAATAAATCATCCTATAAGTAAGGTCACTGATCTGCCCTCAGCAATTTTGATACTTGATTGCTTATAACTTTTCTGCTGTGTGACCACTTGGATGGTAGATAATATTCCAGTTCAAACCAGAGATATTTTCACTTTCCATGCTTTAATAAACTTCCTGCAATGACTAGATCCTTGGATGAAGAATAAGTTGACTGTTGCAAATAAAGCTCAATGCATGGATTCATTTGTTTTTTCCTGTAGATCAGCGCCCGGTCAACCTGGGCCAGGCCGAGCCACCATGGGCTGGTCCTTCATTGTTTCCAGGGCGGCTCTGGGGGCCAAATATAAACACACGGCAGGCCGGATTTGGCCCATGGGCTGTTTCACATGTGCTGAACAGGAAGTCTTCGACTTATAACATTTTGTTTAGTGAACTTTCAAAATTACAACAGCTCTGAAAAAAAGTGACTTATGACAATTTTCACACTTGCAACATCCTGATGATCATGTGATCAACATCCAGATGCTTGGCAGCTGGTATATATTCAGGACTGTGGCTGTGTCCCAAGATCATGTGGTCCCCTTTTGTGATCTTCTGACAAGCAAAGTCAGTGGGGAAAGCCAGATTCATTTGAGAAGCGGATTACTCACTTATCAACTGCAGTTATTCTCTTAACAACATAGGCAAGAAATGCAGCAAAATTCACTTAACAAATGTCTGACTTAACAAGAGAAATTTTGGGCTCAACTGTGTTTGTAAATAAAGGACTACCTGTAGTCATTAAAGGCATTTTCCCTCCACACTCAATACATTTGTGGGCTGGTTCCCCTGTGGATATTTTGGTAGCCAGTATTGCCTCTCTCCTCAGAAAGGCTCTTTCTACCCTCCATGCATTTATATACTCTTTATGAGAATTGTCTTGTCCAAGTAAAGCTATTTTCACTCTCTGTGCATTAATGAGATCTTTCCCCAGTGTGGATCCTTTCATAACAATTATGATGAGATTTCCCAGTCTAGCTTTTTCCAGTCTATGCACTCATATGGTCACTTCTCACTGCGAGTCCTTTGGTGGCAAGTAAGATGACTGTTGCTAATGAAGCTCTTTCCACATTCCGTGCATTTATACAGTCTGTCCCCAATATGGATCCTTTTGTGACGATTAAGATCTCCTTTCCAGGTAAAGTTCTTTTCACATTCCATGCATTTATACCAGCAGTTCTCAACCTATGGGTTGCGACCCCATTTGGAGTCGATTGACCATTTCACGGGGGTTGCCAAACCACGCTGTCCGCCATTTTTTTTCCCTTTTCCCTAGCTGTCCTTTTTTTTGCATCGTATCGTAGATATCCCCGCATCTTCCTCGCTTCTCCGGCTTCCCAGCCGTTTCTCTCTTTGTTCCGGCCTCTCCCCTCGCCGCCTGCTGCGCTCTCCAGACTTCTGTTTCTGGCTCGTCTCGCCACCGCCCCCTCCCTCACTTCTGAGCGCCACCCCTGCCTCCAGAGCCGACCCTCCCCTCCGCCCGCTGCCCTGGTCACGCCCCCTTCACACGCTCCACTCCCCGCTCGCTTCTCTCCATTCAGCGCTGGTCGCGCTCTGTTCCTCGTAGCCGCCAATGCTGCCTCCTTGGCATGTCCCAGTGCGGCGCTCCTGCTGGCGGCTGGTAGGTCAAGCGAGACTCGGTCCTTGTGGTCCCCGCTCGCTTCTCTCCATTCAGCGCTGTTCGTGGCATCTGGAGGTATCACCTGTAGGACCTGGAGCGCCTAGTTGGCAAAGGGCAAGCCGGCGAAGTAGGCTGGACGGGCAGCTGAGGACACTGTGTGTGCTCTGCTCCTGCAGCTGGTTAAGCAGACTTTGGTCTCCCTGGGAAAGAGCTTGGGTTCTGGGTGGCAGAGGCGGGTGTTGTTGCCTTCAGAGGTTGAGGGAGGGCATGGCCCGTCGGTCTTGGGTTTAATGGCGTGGATGATTTGCAAGCTGGGATGTCCACATGGGAGAGCTCATCTATCATGTGGGTTTTCTTGAACTCCGATCTTTAGGCTCCTGACAGAATGCGTAGCCGGCACACTGGGCGTTTTGGAAATTGCTACTGGTGGGCTTCTTCTAGGTGGGTAGTTTATTGATGCGCTCCAAAAGAAGGTTGTGGTGCATGGTTTACACTTGGCAACTTTTTCATCAGTAAACCTTGGCTTAAGTTGAGACACTTTTGACTATTTTAAAAGTAATTCCAGTCACCTTTGTAGTTTTCCTACAAACATTCAAAGAAATGGTTTTTTTTCTAATTACAACCTATGTCATTTGGGGATGGCCATCTCCACCAGATACAGAGCTGCAGATACCCAGAATTGGTCCTGCAACCTTCCATTGTCTCCCACTGACTCAGATCCACTTAAAAAATATTCCTCTACTCTGCTTTTTTCCAAGTACAAACAAATGCTCAAAGAAATCAGCTTGGACTTGGAAGGAGGTGGCATCAGTATGTTGATGGCATTTTGCTTGCCTTGTGTTTGGCCCAGAATCAGTGTCTGAGATCAGTAAGGGGTTGGGAGGGAGCCAGTCAACTGGCTGAGCTGATTGTGCAAATTCAAATGGTGTCAGTCTGCTTTCCTTTCCTCCTGAATGAATCTTCTTAACCTGGATGCCCTCTTGACGTGTGGATTAGAATTTGCCTCAACTGATGCTATCAACTGGTGATCTGGAGATAGAGATCTTTGATACAGTTTTGGTAACTTCTGCAATGTGCTGCCTATGACTTCTGGTTTGGTGATCTCTGTGTTTTCTTGCAGATGTTTCATTACCAAACTAGGTAACATCAAACTAGGAAATACTGTATTTTCCGGCCTATAAGACAACCCCCCAACTTTTGAGAAGATTTTCAGGGTTTAGAATCCTAAACCCTGAAAATCTTCTCAAAAGTTGGGGGGTTCTCTTATAGGCCAGAAAATACGGTATTCCATTTCTAGTTTAAGTTTCTGTTACTACTAAACCTGTTTTAAGACTTTATCAATTTACAATTTCCATAATCAAATATTGTTTTACTTCAACAGATTATCACTTCAATTATCTCTTCCAGATATGTTCAAATTCTTAATCTCTCATCCCTCTTTTAATCACCAGTCTCATTTATAACTTCTTCCAATAATAACTAACTTAGTTAAAAAAAAGAAACAATGTTAAACCTTACTTCATTTCAATTCATTACACAAACTTCAAATCACATCCAAATAATTATTTACATTGTGATTCAGAACAGTACCAAAATTACATTTATGAAATACAAACTAAAATAATTTTATGGTCGGGGGTCACCACAACATGGTGGCCACGCCCACTTGGCCACGTCCCTGGGGTCACCACAACATGGAGAACTGTATTATGGGGTCACGGCATTAGAAAGGTTGAGAACCACTGATTTATACGATCTGTCCCCAGTGTGGATCCTTTTGTGACGATTAAGATTTCCTTTCTGGTTAAATGTCATACCACATTCCATGCATTTATACGGTCTGTCCCCAGTGTGGATCCTTTCGTGATTATTAAGTTGTCCTTTTCGGGTAAAGGTCTTTCCACATTCCATGCATTTATATTGTCTATCCCCAGTGTGGATCCTTTTGTGACGATTAAGAAGTGCTTTCTGGTTAAAGCTCTTTCCACATTCCATGCATTTATATTGTCTATCCCCAGTGTGGATCCTTTTGTGACGATTAAGAAGTGCTTTCTGGTTAAAGCTCTTTCCACATTCCATGCATTTATATGGTCTATCCCCAGTGTGGATCCTCTCATGATCATTAAGATGTCCTTTCCTGATAAAGCTCTTTCCACATTCCATGCATTTATACGGTCTGTGCCCAGTACGGATACTTTCGTGACAATTAAGATCAACTTTCTGAGTAAAGCTCTTTCCACATTCCATACTTTTAAACGATGTGTCCCCAGTGTGGATACTTTCATGACAATTAAAATCAACTTTCTGGGTAAAGCTCTTTCCACATTCCACGCATTTATACGACGTGTCCCCAGTGTGTATCCTTTTGTGACGATTAAGATCTCCTTTCCGGGTAAAGATCTTTCCACATACCATACATTTATACAGTCTGTCCCCAGTGTGGATCATTTTGTGACGATTAAGAGGTCCTTTCTGGGTAAAAGTCATTCCACATTTCATGCATTTATACAGTCTATCCCCAGTGTGGATCCTTTCATGAACATTAAGATCTCCTTTCCGGGTAAAGCTCTTTCCACATTCCATGCATTTATACGGTCTTTCCCCAGTGTGGATCATCTCATGAAAATTAAGATTTCCTTTCTGGGTAAAGCTCTTTCCACATTCCATGCATTTATACGGTCTGTCCCCAGTGTGCATCCTCTCATGAAGATTACGATTTCCTTTCTGGGTAAAGCTCTTTCCACATTCCATGCATTTATACGGTCTGTCCCCAGTGTGGATCCTCTCATGAAGTTTAAGATTTTCTTTCCGGATAAAGCTCTTTCCACATTCTATGCATTCATATGATCTCTCCCCGGTGTGCATCTTTTGGTGGACATTAAGATTACTTTTCGTACTGAAACTCTTTCCACACTGCATGCAGCATTTCCTCTTTCTGCTCAGGGTGGAATCCACCAAAGATATTACAGAAGTATGTGGTTTGCATTTCCCACACAGTTTCTTTGGTGAAGTAGCAGCGAAGGAGTTATTCTCCATAGTTTTTAGAGGCATGCATGCTTCCTTGTCGTTCTCATTCACAAACACCTCATCTGCATGGGAAAAAATGAAAATTAATATTCTGATTAGAATTTAAAAGGCCCAACCCCATCAAAAACATGTCAATCTGCGTTCCAGGTTTAGTACAATCCATTTGTCTAGCCAGGATGTGCTATCTGCAAATTGTTATCTAGGAGGCTTTATTATATAGAAATAATGTTTTCAGACAAAAAACAAATTAAAGTCAATCTATTCAGTCACTTCCATGGAGTATCTAGGATATTTCTCAATTCTATGGTGAATATTTGTGTCACAACCTTATAGCGAACTGAACAGCCTGGCCTTACCCAGAGCAGCCATATTGATAGAAACCTCCTGCATGACTTCTCTGCACAAGGCCTTCTGGCCAGAATCTAGCAGCTTCCACTCCTCATCTGTGAAGTCCACAGTCACCTCCTCAAAGGGATTAGAGCTCTAGAAAGAGAAAAAAAGTAGACAATCCCAGGAAACAGTTGAAAGTTCTCTCTCTTAATGCAGGCAACATAGAATGCACAGTTGCAAGAGCCAAATGAACATTTTGTTTCAGGTCAGATTCATGTCAACCTGTCCACATAGTCCAAGGGGCTGGGAAGTTGCAGCTTAACAAATCATGGTTTAGCTACTTCCAGGTTATAGAATGTAACACAGCTAACGCTGAACAATGGTTTTATTGTTATAGCCACTTAGTGTTGACTTACTGGCTTATCCTTCATGTGCTATATTTTTCTTGGTATACTTAACAGTTATCTTACAAGGGAGATGGCTGGCATAAATATTCAATAAAATAAACACTTCTTAGGTATGTTTAATCCCACATTTATAGTTTCAATTCATGGCTTTCATTTCTAACTATTTTAGGCATTCTTCTTAATAGTATTAAGAAATATTAACCTCTTTCTACAATAAAATTTCATTTCTAATAAAAGGTTCCTGCCTATCAATTGTCTCATTGGCATTTCCAGCACAATCTTGAAAGCCAAATGTGGTGGACACTGTGTTCAAGTGCACATTCAGCTCCTGAATGGATGGATCTGGAACTCTACTGTTCTCAGAAGAAACCTGCACTTACCTGGGAAGGTGGCCAGAATTGGGTCCTCCTGAAAAACAGTTGCTGAATAGAGCTGGATTGATCTCCTCTGCCCCGGAGCTCTGCTGAGATCTCCTCTGTGAACTGCTCCTGCATTTGAAGAACAGCCTGATTCATAATCCATTTCCAGAAGACAATATCTGTGATAGTTCACATTCTTTACATTTTGCTTTCCTACTTGTATTTCCCCAACCCAATTCAGAGACACTTCAGGGAGTCTGCGAGTGACTTAAAACAGCAGGCTGTATTTTTATCTACCTAAAATGTGTTAATTAGTTTCCTTCTCTTACTATTGTGGTATTCTAGAGCTTATTAAATGTGGCTCTGTATCAGAGGCCATTCACATAATCCAGTTGCTTCCCCTTATCTAGATTCAGGTAACAGCAGATCACAAACTAAACACTGATTATGATGAGATATATGGATAACATCACAAAGGATACAGAGGTGTAAAGGGATAAATTAATTTAGGAAACAGAAGCATTTGCCTTAAGAAGAAATCCATTCTTCAAAGGTGAGGAATTCCAGAAAAGGCTGCAGAGTCATATTTTTAATCTCTCTTATTAGAGACATGGCTAACCCTTCCTCTCCCCTTCCCGCCCCCCATGGAGATCCCAGAATGAAGCCCCCCGCCCTCCTCACCTGCCCCTTTCCCGGCTCTTCCCGCTGGGCTTGGCTGAGGAGGAAGCCTTCGGCCAGGGCCACCGCCTGCGAACAGCTCTCGGCTCCGCACTCCCTCACCCAGCTCGCCATCTCCGCGGGCAGCAGGGCCCGCAGCTGCTCCAGCACCACCAGGTCCAGCATCTCCCCTTTGCTGCTCCTCTCCGGCCGCAGCCACTGGCGGCACAGGCGGTGCAGGCGGCTGCAAAGCTCCCGAGGCCCCTCGGCCTCCTGGCGGCAGCCGTCGAGACCGCGGAAGCGCCGGCGGTGGATCTCTGGGCTGAGGGCGGCCTCCATCCCTGGAGATCCCTGGGCCTCCATCGGGTCTCCTGCTCGAGGGCAGCCAAAAGAGGTCCGAGACGGTCCGAAATGTCCCCCGGCCCCTCCGAAACCCTTCTCCGGTTGGCAGGAGGGCAGAAATCGGACTCCGCTGACTCGGGCGTTAGCCGCCTGAAGAAGGCAACGGCAAATGCTTCCAGCCAATTACCTGAGTGCTCCAGGCACGTTGGCGGAGGAATTCTGGGAGTTGAAGTCCAGCAGTCAAAAGGCCCAAGTCTGAAGACGCCTGCTCAACAAGGACCTAGAACGAGAGATATGTGCTTCCTAGAGGGGACGTAAAAGAAGCAAATCAAAAGGCACTTTCCTTTTCCGGGCTTCCAGAATGTGTGCTCCGCTGCTCTTCTTCGGAGGGGGGTGGGGTTCGCTAAAAGGCGGGCGGTAGAAGCGGAGACTGGGACGGCGATGCTTGCGAAGGGCAGGGAAGGACCGATCATCTCAGCGTCGCCCCTCTTCATCGCCCGCTTGCTCCTGCTCGGGTCCTGCGCCCTGCATGGAAGTCGGGGAGGCTCCGCTGAAAGGTGGAGCTCTCCTTGGTCTCTGGGTCCAGCGCAGGACGGACGGATCGGGGGGCTGAACGTCGGAAGGCGGCTGGTAGCTCCTTTTCCAGCTGACACCTTTCCTTGCAAAAGGAGAGCTTCGTGAGTGCAGAGACTGAGGCAGGATGGAAATCGGGGAGGGGAAGGCAGGTTGGATCCGGGGCTGCGAACGAGGGGAAGCCTCGCCCTCTGCCTCGCCCTGGAGGTCGGCGGGATGGCTGGAGCAGAGAGCTTCCTTCCCTCCATGCTCCCTTCCTGGAGACGGGACTTGCTCTCTAGGCGTAAAGCGTTTCTCCCGGCGGTTCATTTGCCGGGTTGCTAGAGCAGAAGCGAGCGTAGGGGACTGAGGGTCTCAGTTTAACGGAGCTGGCGCCGATCCCTTCGTTTTTCATGTCTCTGTTTAAATACATCCTCTGGAAACCGTGAAAGATTATTTTGGAGAAAATTTTACCGATCTGATTAATCAGTACGTATTTGATGGTCCGTAATCAATTTATCAAGAATTTGTATAACTAAAGATCGAGAATAAGCTAAAAAAATTCTCAATTTCATATCATAACTAAATGGACTTCTCAGAGTAGCTATTTGCATATGTTTTACACAGGAATTATACTTCTTTACGTGTTGAATTTATAATATAAAACTATTTATTATTTACCATCCAAAGCTCTTTGAAAATCAGAGCGTTGTTTTCAGTTTAGGTCCTCTGCTAAAAGACAAGAAGTCAACTCAGAATAAAGAGTAGCAAAATTGGTTCTTAAACACCCGCATCCCCAAATTTGTTATAGGAGGCTTTTCCCTTTCTGGTCAAGTATTACTGGTAGTTTGTAAATGGGGAAGAAGAACCGCTTACTTCCACTCCTAACTCAACTCTGACGGCTCCAGTGGGCTTTGGCTGAGAGTGGCTGAGAAGAGGGAAGCCACCTGATAAATCATGCATTTGTACTTTGATTATTCCTCTGCCATGAATTTTTATTTTTCTTATACGTATTGTAGTTTTTCTCTCTTAAACATATCTTTATCAACTTCAACCCATAGCGTAACATAATTACTTTGAAACAATATACTATTCATATTTCTCAGATTAATACCCAAGTACTTTACTTTATATTCAATCTCAAAATCTGATTTTTCATCGTTTCACCTTCTACATATTTTGTTTACTTCTTTTTATTAGTGTTATAGTCACATTGCCCACTAATACAATTCTTTTTTAAAGTTTCAAAATTATTTTCATTCTTTCTTATTTTGTGGGATATAATGATTATCCTGCTGATCAATTGTCCCTGTCCTTTGACAGAATATTGTATTTTTTTCTGTTCTTGCCATTTGACAAACACTCCACATTCCTTGTTTCCTGGGCATACTATGTTGCCATACAAAGTTTTTCTCTTCCCACCTCCTTTAATATTTTCTCTCAGGATATATTTTGTCAGCTTCTGAGTATTACCCAATTTAGTGGTTCATCCTCTTTGATATGGATGCTGTCATTTTATTTTACATAAATATCCAGATTGCATTCGTGATTTTTCTTTTGAAAGATACATAAGCCCTGCTCAACCAGTACCTTGCTCTCATCCCATTCTTGAATTTCTCTACATATTTGCAATGTTAACTAAAAATAATGAATTCCATTCAAAATATACTGTTCTCTGCATTCTATGATGCCATTAATGATAGAGAAAATCAATTTTTAGTTTTTCTTATTGCTGATCTCTGTAGGGAAGGGGGCTGCATGAAATTGCCCCAATTAAATTGATACTGACACAGAACATTGTTGTAGAGTCCTATGATGCCTAATTTAATTTCTCCTTGGGGACATTTAATTCTTCTGGAAGTTTCCATAATTTGGGGAGAAAATGCATCCATTCAAGCAATCAATCAGAATACAGCAGGAAGGGACATTGGAGGTCTTCTAGTCCAGCCCCCTGCTGAAGCAGGAGACTCTTTACTATTTCGTACAAAGGACTGTCAAGTCTCTTCTTAAAAACCTTCAGTGAGGAAGCACCCACAACTTCTGGAGGTAAGGGAGCATCTGGAGGTAAGCTCTTCCCCTCTTTAAATGTCCTCATGGTTAGGACTCAGTTCACTCAATTCTACTTCCCTTGGAGGCTATAGTGAACGAATCATTGTCCACACAAATCTTCTGCAGTGCGCAGACGATCATATGGGTTTGAGGGTTTGGACAGGGTTCTCCAGCCTGAGAAACTCTGGCGAGTGTTCTGCTGCTCCTGTAATGCCAGGGGACAGTGGCAGGAAAGGACAGCTTTCAAAGTGGAAACGAGTGGATCCCTCGCCTAAGTTCTTGATCCTTTCCTCTTTCACTGGACGAGCCTTCATGTGGGATAGTGTTGCTGTTTTCCTTACTCCAGCCTCGGAGCCTATTAGGTCTCAACATAACTGATTCATTTATAGGAGGGTCTGAGCTGGGCCTTAGAAGCGCACTCCACCAAATACCAGCTGTGGAAGGAGTTGCCGGTAATAGTGGTGTTGGGGGAACTTTAAGAGGACTGCAGAAAAACGCAGTGAAGGTTCTGGATCGATGGGAGGACTGGGGCTGCACTATAGTTGGGGAGGGGCCGAAGAGGGAAAACTTTTTGGGAGAAATTCCTCCTGCAGTGGAAATTGGGGGAGGGGCAATGTGGCTGCTAGTGTGTGTGTGTGGGGACTCCCTAGTCCCGTGGTGGTGAACCTATAGCACGTGTGCCACAGGTGGCATGGAAGGTGCTTTTTGTGGGCACGCCCGCCATTGCACCACTCCTAGACCTTCAGCTGGGTTTTATAAAACCTTTTCACTTTAGGCCACCGCCGCCGTATGCAAAAAAGAAAAAGGTTCAATTAATTTCCTTGCGGGAAAAAAAGATCTCAAAAACTTGGAATTGATTGATTGAACTTTTTAGTCCCACCCAGTCTGCCATTACCACCGCAGCCATGCCCACCCCACCCAATTGGCAACACCCACTTGGCACCCGACAATACATAAGTGGGTTTTGGGTGCAGTTTGGGCACTCAGTCTCTAAACGTTTCGCCATCACTGCCCTACTCAGTCCCATTTTGGTGCAGAAATACCAGCCTTTCTTCACCTGAATTCCCCTAGTATTCATTTCTGCTCCTTTCTTTGTGGTGTGTGTGTGTTCATTATCCTCTTCCAGAGAGGACTATATTTAAAGATACAAAGAGGCTTTCCTTAAGGTGGCATCTTGGATTTGCCTTTCAAGACATCAAGAACTTGCAGATCTCTTACATAGGAATAGTGATGGTAAGTCTCCTGCGGATGTCCTTTTCCCACTGTCTTTTCAGTGATCATTTCTGCAACTAGACTATTCCAGGTGGAAAAGAGCAAGCATGGAACACTCTGGAATGTTCTTCAGCTTTGCAGCTGGAGGTGGTTGCAGCTTATGGTCCTTTGCAGCACGACAGAAGATAAAATGCAGGCTGAGGAAGGCTCTGATCCTTGGGATCCAAAGTTCATTTAACCAGCCTAGTCCAGGAGTCACCCCTAGAAACACCTTTTGAGGGGGGGATATTTTCAGCCAGTCTCTTTGAGAGCAAAAGAGAAGCATGCTGAATAGCCCAGGGTTCAATAGGCCGGCTGAAAAAGGTTAGTTTGGATTTTGGAGTGGACTCTTTTCAGTCAGGCCCCAGAAACCACTCCTTCCTTGCAGCCTTCTTCGTTGACAGAAAAGTTGCAAATATTAATCACATGATTATAAGGCACTTGGCAACAGGCGGGAAAGCACTGGAGACACTATAAGTATATTCAAACTGTGATATGATAATGCCTTCTACTGTAAAATGTGGCTTTCTGACATTTCTACTCGATGTAACCAAAACTCTTAAGGGGTCTTGTTCAGTTTCTAGCATTAAACTGGTTTTCAAATATACAAACTGTTTGGTCATCTTTTATTTAATAACTTTTGTAATCTTTTGTCTAGTCCAGCGGTTCTCAACGTTTGTGTGACGGCGACCCCCGTCACACAAACGTTATGCGGATGCGCGGCGCAGCCGCGCATGGGGGCAGGGCGCGCGCGGCGCGCATGCGCGGCGCCACCCCCGTGCGCGGCGCGCATGGGGGCGGGGCCCCCGCGCGCGGCGCGCATGCGCGGCACCACCCCCGGAGGCGCGCCGCCGCCCCCACGCGCGGTGCGCGTGCGCGGCACCGCCCCCCCGGAGGCGCGGCGCGCCCCCGGAGGGGACAAAATGGCGGATCGCCGCGTTTGGCGAACCCACAAAAGAGGTCGATCGACCCCAAATGGGGTCGCGACCCATAGGTTGAGAACCGCTGGTCTAGTCTTTGCAATAATTCGCAGCCTTGTAATATAAATACGGTTGCTTCCTTTTTTTTGCCTAAAATATTTGCCTGCCTAGAAGAAAAATAACTTTCCAAAACGTGATCTGCTTAACATGTTCTCTCCATGAAAAAGAGCATTGATTTCTGGTTATTAAGTACTTAGGTTATGATATAAGATTCCCAAAATGATCACAGAAATGGGATGCTCCAATTGAGATAGGGGCAGGTTTGTGACTGTGTTTTTCTTTGTGCTTCTTTGAGAAGGTATATTTGTACCTCCGTCTCTTTCTTCCTATCTTTGGGAAGGGCTATTGTTGGGTACATAAGTTGTCTTGGGTACAGGCTTGGGGTCTGCATTCCTGGTCTAGGAATCCTGACTGGAAGGACATGTTGTCAGCCCCTCAAGGTAGTCCAGACAAGAGGCACGAGAATGAATACTAGCACTATCTCTACTGCGAGGCCACAATACAAAATCCTGAAACTCTGAAAGTATTTTTTCCATCCTCTCTTTTTACTCTTTGAACAATTAGGGAGTTTCTTTTGCAATTCTTCCAATGCCCCATTCACCCTCACAATCTCCTTGTGGGGATTAGGTTATCTTTTCGATAATAGCTGTTCAGCGGAAGGCTCTTCCCACGTCTCCCAAAGTCATTCTCATTCTCCCATTACCCCCTCCCTATCCATGTTCTCCAGAAATCTTTTCCACTGTTTGTTTGTAAAGAAGAGAAACAAAGGCATGTAAGACTTTCTAATAAGGTTTACTGTATTTTCAATGAGAATGAATAGTTAGAATATCAGCTGAAAGGAGTCAATTAATTCCTGCATTAGAGGCAAGAAAGAGAGAGAACAAAGAGAAGGAATTCATGTCACTCCCTCAAATGCTGGAGCTTCTTACATCCCTGAGAAGGCTGGAAGGTTGAAATAGGCTTGTTGTAGAAATGAGAGACTTGAGTCAGCTCTTTTGGGAAAGGAAATGGTTTATTGCGCAGGTTCAGAGAGCTAATCACAGCAAAAAGGATCTGAACCCCGAACGGGCTTAGATGAACATTCTTTTTTTTATTTTTTTTTTATTGAAAATTTTTAGATTTTACAAAACAATACAAATCCCTTCCCCGAACCCCCCCAACCCTCCCCTACCCTCCCCCGACCTTCCCAGAGCTGAATAGAGGCTTAATTAAAAAAATTTCAAAAAGTTTTAAAATAGATATAAACCATAAACAAGTCTAAGTACATTAATTAAACAAGTTATAAAATAGTTAACAATAATATATGTATAAAAAGACAAAAATACAAGGAAATATAAGAAAATATAAGAAAATAGAAAGAAAAATAAAAAAAAATAAAAAAATAAAAAAGGTCTAAAAAGTCTATAGTCTATGAAATATCTTAAGTTTTAAATATCAGTTATTGAAAAGCTAAATAATATTTTTTTATATCCAACTTATATTGTATAAAGTCTATCCATTTTTTCCATACCAAAAAATACTTCTCTTGCGATTGGTCTTTCAAGAAAGCCGAAATCTTTGCCATTTCCGCCAAATAAGAAACTTTAAAAAACCACTCTTGCAGGGTAGGCAAAGATTCCTTCTTCCAATATTGCCCTACTAACAACCTTGCCGCTGTAATTAAATTTAACATCAATGTAATCTCTTTAATATCACAATCAGAAACAATACCTAACAAAAACAATTGTGGGGTAAATTTTACCCTTCTTCTAAAAATTCTTTGGATATTCCACCATATCTTAATCCAAAAAGCTTTTATATTTTTACATGACCACCAAATATGATAATAAGTAGCATCCAAACATCCACATTTCCAACATTTAGGCTGTAAGTCAGGATACATACGAGACATTTTTTGTGGATCAAGGTGCCATCTATAAAACATTTTATAAAAATTTTCCCTTAAATTTTGGGATTGTGTAAATTTAACATTCCTCACCCAAATAATTTCCCAAGTATCTAATAGAACCGGTTCTTCAAAATTTTGTGCCCATTTGACCATACATTCTTTAACTAATTCTGCTTCTGAATCCAATTCTACTAACACCCCATAGATTCTCTTAATATGGGTTCGTCTTTGATCTTTTATTAGTTTTAATAAATTCTCATCTTCTCTAAGTAAACCCACATTACGATCTATCTTCCACCTCTCTACTATTTGTCTATAATGAAACCATGAATAAATAATATTTTCTTGTGTTAAATCTTCCAAGGATTTTAATTGCCAATTTTTACCATCCCATCTAAGTAGTTGTACATAAGAAACACTATCCATCTTGACTCCTCTCCTTATCCCTTCTATCGCATGCCCCGGTATAGCCCATAGCGGAATTTTAAAATCACTTCTATAATATTTCCTCCAAACTCGAAGTAAGGAAATCCTTATAATATGAGATTTAAAGACCCTATCAACCTTTTTATTAAAAATTAAATAGGCATGCCATCCAAAAAGTAAATCCCAGCCCTCCAAGAGGAGTATTTCTACATTTGTTAAATTAACCCAATCACTTATTGATGTTAAAGCCACAGCATCATAATACAATTTCAAATTCGGTACCTTGAGTCCACCTCTCTCACGAATATCCTGTATAATTTTAAGTTTTACTCTTGGTTTTTCCCTGCCCAGATAAATTTGTTAATACCTTTCTGCCATTCATTTAAATTAACCTCATTCTTTAAAATAGGTATCATTTGAAATAAAAAAAGAAACTTTGGCAAAACACTCATTTTGATCGCCGCAATTCTTCCCAAAAGAGATAATTGCAACTTCTCCCAATTTTCCAAATCTCTTCGTATATTGACCCACAGCCTTTCATAATTGTTTTTATACAATTTTGCATTAGAAACAGATAAAATAACCCCCAAATATTTTACCTTATTAACAACCTCAAAATCTGTCAACTTAACCAAAGTCTGCTTGTCCAAATTAGTCATATTTTTAGGCAATATTTTAGTCTTATTATTAATTTTAAAACCCGAAACCTTTCCATACTGATGTATTAATTGTAATAACTCTATTACAGAATAAGTAGGTTGAGATAAAGTAACCACCAAGTCATCTGCAAAAGCCCTTAATTTATATTCTTTTTTATTAACTTCTATTCCTTTTATTTGCTGTGATTCTCAAATTTTAATCAGCAATATTTCCAAAATTAAAACAAACAGCAATGGTGAGGTGAACATTCTTATACCCCTTAATACAGTGGTTCTCAACCTTTCTAATGCCGTGACCCCATAATACAGTTCCCCATGTTGTGGTGACCCCCAAGTGGGTGTGGCCACCAATAAGAGGGAGTAGGACAGCTAGGGAAAAGGGAACAAAATGGTGGACAGCATGGTTTGGCGACCCCCATGAAATGGTCATTCGACCCCAAATGGGGTCCCGACCCACAGGTTGAGAACCACTGCCTTAATACATACGCATTTCCTTATCATGAAGTATTCCATACATGGTTATATTCTATAGTTCCTTATTCTAACATAGGAAAACTACCAAGCAGTTTGCAATATATCACGTGCATAGAGAAAAACAGGATATTGGGCTGATCAGGCACTTCTAAATTTAAGTGTCATCTGGTAGACAGGAAACCTCCTTCGCGCCCACAGTTTCTGCTAGACATCAATATTTTTCCAGCTTCCCACTTTAGGCTTGAATTTCTTTTTCTCCTATAAATTATTTCTAAGTGGAAACAAATATTTGCCTAAAGAAGAAATAAATCATCCTATAAGTAAGGTCACTGATCTGCCCTCAGCAATTTTGATACTTGATTGCTTATAACTTTTCTGCTGTATGACCACTTGGATGGTAGATAATATTCCAGTTCAAACCAGAGATATTTTCACTTTCCATGCTTTAATAAACTTCCTGCCATGTCTAGATCCTTGGATGAAGAATAAGTTGACTGTTGCAAATAAAACTCAATGCATGGATTCATTTGTTTTTTCCTGTAAATCAGCGCCCGGTCAACCTGGGCCAGGCCGAGCCACCGTGGGCCGGTCCTTCGTCGTTTCCCATTTCCAGGGCGACTCTGGGGACCAAATATAAACACATGGCAGGCCGGATTTGGCCCGTGGGCCGTTTCACGTGTGCTGAACAGGAAGTCTTCGACTTATAACATTTTGTTTAGTGAACTTTCAAAGTTACAGCAGCTCTGAAAAAAGTGACTTATGACAATTTTCACACTTAACAACCATTGCAACATCCTGATGATCATGTGATCAACATCCAGATGCTTGGCAGCTGGTATATATTCAGGGCTGTGGCTGTGTCCCAAGATCATGTGGTCCCCTTTTGTGATCTTCTGACAAGCAAAGTCAGTGGGGAAATCCAGATTCATTTGAGAAGCGGATTACTCACTTATCAACTGCAGTTATTCACTTAACAACATAGGCAAGAAATGCAGCAAAATTCACTTAACAAATGTCTGACATAACAAGAGAAATTTGGGGCTCAACTGTGTTTGTAAATAAAGGACTACCTGTAGTCATTAAAGGCATTTTCCCTCCACACTCAATACATTTGTGGGCTGGTTCCCCTGTGGATATTTTGGTGAGCAGTATCGTCTCTCTCCTCAGAAAGGCTCTTTCTACCCTCCGTGCATTTATATACTCTTTATGAGAATTGTCTTGTTCAAGTAAAGCTATTTTCACTCTCTGTGCATTAATGAGATCTTTCCCCAGTGTGGATCCTTTCATAACAATTATGATGAGATTTCCCAGTCTAGCTTTTTCCAGTCTATGCACTCATATGGTCACTTCTCACTGCGAGTCCTTTGGTGGCAAGTAAGATGACTGTTGCTAATGAAGCTCTTTCCACATTCCGTGCATTTATACAGTCTGTCCCCAATATGGATCCTTTTGTGACGATTAAGATCTCCTTTCCAGGTAAAGTTCTTTTCACATTCCATGCATTTATACGGTCTGTCCCCAGTATGGATCATTTTGTGACGATTAAGATTTCCTTTCTGGTTAAATGTCATACCACATTCCATGCATTTATACGGTCTGTCCCCAGTGTGGATCCTTTCGTGACTATTAAGTTGTCCTTTCCGGATAAAGTTCTTTCCACATTCCATGCATTTATATGGTTTCTCCCCAGTGTGGATCTTTTCATGAAGATTAAGATCTCTTTTCTGGACAAAGGTCTTTCCACATTTCATGCATTTATACGGTCTCTCCCCGGTGTGCATCTTTTGGTGGACATTAAGATTACTTTTCGTACTGAAACTCTTTCCACACTGCATGCAGCATTTCCTCTTCCTGCTCAGGCTGGAATCCACCAAAGTTATTACAGAAGTACGTGGTTTGCATTTCCCATACAGTTTCTTCGGTGAAGTAGCAGTGAAGGAGTTATTCTCCATAGTTTTTAGAGGCCTGCATGTTTTTTGTGGTGTGATTTCTGCCATAGTTATGTAATTCAAATTCATGTTCTCTTTTTTTCTATATTTTTCTTTTCTCATTTCTTTCTGATCTTGCTGGGATAGGAAGCCACGAATACCAAGAGAAGTGGATGACTTCTCCACTCCATTTTCTGGCTGTTTTCTGCTTAGCATTTTGCTGTTCCTCTGATGGCCAAGGATTATTTTTATTTTATTCTTCTGTATTTCAAGTAGATTTAAACTTGACTCATCGTCCTCATTCACACACACATCATCTGCATGGGAAAAAATGAAAATTAATATTCTGATTAGAATATACAGTACGTCAAAAACATTCCAATCTGCGTTCCAGGTTTAGTACAATCCATTTGTCTAGCCAGGATGTGATATCTGCAAATTGTTATCTAGGAGGCTTTATTATATAGAAATAATGTTTTCAGACAAAAAACAAATTAAAGTCAATCTATTCAGTCACTTCCATGGAGTATCTAGGATATTTCTCAATTCTATGGTGAATATTTCTGTCACAACCTTATAGCGAACTGAACAGCCTGTCCTTACCCAGAGCAGCCATATTGATAGAAACCTCCTGCATGACTTCTCTGCACAAGGCCTTCTGCCCAGAATCTAGCAGCCTCCACTCCTCATCTGTGAAGTCCACAGTCACCTCCTCAAAGGGATCAGAGCTCTAGAAAGAGAAAAAAGTAGACAATCCCAGGAAACAGTTGAAAGTTCTCTCTCTTAATGCAGACAACATAAAATGCACAGTTGCAAGAGGTAAATGAACATTTGCTTTCAGGACAGATTCATGCCACCGTGTCTACCTAGTCCATGCGGCTGGGAAGTTGCAGCTTAACAAATCACGGATTAGCTACTTCCAGGTTGTAGAATGCAATACAGCCAACATTGAACAACAGTTTTATTGTTACAGCCACTTAGTGTTGACTTACTGGCTTCTCCTTCATGTGCTATATTTTTCTTGGTATACTTAACAGTTACCTTACAAGGGAGACGGCTAGCATAAATATTCAATAAAATAAAAACGTCTTAGGTATGTTTAATCCCACTGTTATAGTTTCAATTCATGGGTTTTATTACTAACTATTTTAGGCATTCTTCTTAAACTCTTTCTACAATTAAATTTCATTTCTAATAAAAGGTTCCTGCCTATCAATTGTCTCATTGGCATTTCCAGCGCAATCGTGAAAGCCAAATATGGGTGGACACTGTGTTCAAGTGCACATAGACTCAGCTTTTGGTATTAAACAGAGCTCCTGAATGGATGGAGCTGGAACTCTACTGTTCTCAGAAGAAACCTGCACTTACCTGGGAAGGTGGCCAGAATTGGGTCCTCCTGAAAAACGGGTCCTGAACAGAGCTGGATCGATCTTCTCTGCCCCGGAGCTCTGCTGAGATCTCCTCTGTGAACGTCTCCTGCATTTGAAGAACAGCCTGATTCATAATCCATTTCCAGAGGACAATATCTGTGATAGTTCACATTCTTTACATTTTGCTTTCCTACTTGTATTTCCCCAACCCAATTCAGAGACACTTCAGGGACTCTGCATGTGACTTAAAACAGCAGGCTGTATTTTTATGTACATACAATGTGTTAATTAGTTTCCTTCTCTTACTATTGTGGTATTCTAGCGCTTATTAAATGTGGCTCTGTATCAGAGGCCATTCACATAATCCAGTTGCTTCCCCTTATCTAGATTCAGGTAACAGCAGATCACAAAGTAAACACTGATTATGATGAGATATATGGATAAGATCACAAAGGATACAGAGGTGTAAAGGGATAAATTAATTTAGGAAACAAGCATTTGCCTTAAGAAGAAATCAATTCTTCAAAGATGAGGAGTTTCAGTAAAAGTTGCAGAGTCATATTTTTAATCCCTTTGTCTTCTTGCAGAAGTGATCATTCCCCGCCCCCCATGGAGCTCCCAGGACGAAGCCCTCCCCCCCCAACTCCTCACCTGCCCCTTTCTCGGCTCTTCCCGCTGGGCTTGGCTGAGGAGGAAGCCTTCGGCCAGGGCCACCGCCTGCGAACAGCTCTCGGCTCCGCACTCCCTCCCCCAGCTCGCCATCTCCGCGGGCAGCAGGGCCAGCAGCTGCTCCAGCACCACCAGGTCCAGCATCTCCCCTTTGCTGCTCCTCTCCGGCCGCAGCCACTGGCGGCACAGGCGGTGCAGGCGGCTGCAAAGCTCCCGGGGCCCCTCGGCCTCCTGGCGGCAGCCGTCGAGACCGCGGAAGCGCCGGCGGTGGATCTCTGGGCTGAGGGCGGCCTCCATCCCTGGGGATCCCTGGGCTTCCGTCGGGTCTCCTGCTCGAGGGCAGCCAAAAGAGGTCCGAGACGGTCCGAAATGTCCCCCGGCCTCTCCGCAGCCCCTTCTCCGGTTTGCAGGAGGGCAGAAATGGGTCTCCGCTCACTCGGGCTTTACCCGCCCGAGGAGAGCAAAGGCAAATCCTTCCAACCAATTTCCTGGGCGCTCTTTTATGCCTTGTGGACTTCAACTGGCACGCTGGCTGAGGAATTCTGGGAGTTGAAGTCCAGAAGTCAAAAGGGCCAATTCTAAAGGCCTCTGCTCAACAAGGAGCTAGAAGGAGAGATATGTGCTTACTAGATGGATCTGATATGAAGAGAATGAAAGGGGACCTTCCTTTTCCGGCCTCCCAGAATGTCTGCTCCGCTGCTCTTCTCCGGAGGGGGGCGGGGTTCGCTGAAAGGCGGGAGGTGGAAGCGGAGGCTGGTACGACGATGCTTGCAAAGGGCAGGGAAGGACCGATGATCTCGGCGTCCCCCCTCTTCATCGCCCGCTTGCTCCTGCCCAGGTGCTGCGCCCTGCGGGAAAATCGGGAAACCTCCGCTTAAGGGAACAAGCTAAAACAAATTCTTAATTCCATATAACAACTAAATGGACTTCTCAGAGTAGCAATTTGCATGTTTTACACAGGAATTATACTTTTTTCCTTTAGGTGTTGAATTTATAACATCAAAATAGTTATGATTTATTATTTAAGATCCAAAGTTTTGTGAGAAAGTTTTCCGTGGTTCGGGTCTCCAGAGTTTCGTCTCAGGCAGAAGAAATGACACAGAATGAAGCTGCCAGAAAGTAGGTTTATTTACAGAAGCCAAAGGGAGTAATGGTACAACGATGGTTTCTGGACTAGCTAGTACATTTCCAAGGTGAGGGGTCCTGTTCTTATACCTCTCAAGTTATTGAGGTTATGATTTGCCTTTTGGAAAGATTTTTTGTTCATTTAATTTCATCTAGTTTGTGTCTGATTGGACCGATAACGATTAAAATTGTCCTCGGGAATTATTTGTTTATGCAAATGGGTTTCTCCATATGGTTTGTGTCTGTCTTGTGTTACAAAAGTTTAAGTGAGGTTGATGGGTTTAATTGTTTTCTAAGACGCCCGATTTTGCTGTCCTCAGAATGTTTCTTTTAGTTTGGCAGTTTACCCAGAATTGCTCAGGGCGGGGGAAAAGAGAATGAGAGATAAGAAAAAAATCCTTTTCTTTGGTCTTTTACATTTGATTAGGCTTATCCCTTAAATGAGGGGTGTCAAACTCAATTTCATTGAGGGCCACATCAGCATTGTGGTTGCCCTGGGGGTGTGTGGCCTACTGGGTGGGTGTGGACGGATTGGGTGTGGCCTATTGGGTGGGCATGGCCAGCTCTACATCGTTCGCGTCAAGGCTGCCTGTGGGGGCCTGGGCAGGAGTGGGATAGATCTGAGGGTCTCTAGCAGAAGGGGGTGGCACGTGCCAAAGCATGGTACACTGGAGGAGCCTCACTGCCTGCTGAAACCCCTCCCTTAGAGCCCATCAAGCCGGATATGTGAAGTAGGTGAGGGCCATTTGCTGGCCACTTCCAGGCAATGGTGCATTTCTTCATTCCTCACGGAACCCAGCTGCGTTTCTTGCCTGTTTTTCTCCCTCATCTCAAATATTTTCCACCACTCTGAACTTAGGAAGGAAAGAAGGAAAGGAGATGGAAGGTCTGAGAGAACTCTTGCTTTAGTTCTGACCTGCTGCCCTTTCACCATCCCCTTGCGCCCTCCTCCTGGCCTATCCTGGGGATCTCCCATCCTATTGCTAAGGAAGCTTTGGATATAAAGCCGTCTCTACTCCCATGGAGAGGGAGTTTGCCTCCCTCTGACTTTGCCCTCATACCCAACATGAGAAACCTGGCTAAGGAGAGCAAGCACAGCAGCAGCAGCCTTGAGGAGGTAAATGCACCTGGGCGCCACCTTGGGCAAGTGGGGCTGGGCTTGGTGCCGCAGGTGCTTGAGGGCCAGGCTGGGCATTTGACCTCTGCTGCCCAGGGCTCCAGGCAGCCCGCACCACCATCCAGCCCTCCCCCCCCCCCGGCATGGCCTAAGAGGAACAGTGAGGCTCCTCCAGTGGACCATGCTTCGGCACTTGCCCTGGTCCCATCCCTTTCTGCCAGAGACCCTCAGATCTGTCCCACTCCTGCCCAGCCCCCACAGGCCCCCTTGACGCGAACGATGTAGAGCTGGCCATGTCCACCCAGTAGGCCACACCCACTTCATCCACACCCAGCCAGTAGGCCACACCCACCCTGGCCATACCCACCCGCCTCCCCAGAGCAACCGCAATGCTGATGCGGCCCTCAATGAAATTGAGTTGCCACCCCTGTGATAGGGGAATCACTGAAATTGTTAAATTAGTAACACAGTTCTTAAGCGAATCTGGTTTCCCCATGGTCTTTGTCAGAAGGTTGCAAAACGAGATCACATGACCAAGGGACCATCATAAATATGAATCAGTTGCGAAGCATCCAAATGTAAATCACGTGACCCTGGGGATGCTGCAATGGTCATTAAGTGTAAAAATAGGTCAGAAATCACTTTTTTCTGTGCCGTTCTGACTTTGAATAGTCACTAAGTGAACTGTTGTAAGTCGAGGGCCACCTGTACTTTATCACTTTCCCTTTTTTTTTTGGTCAAGTTTTTGATACCTTGCTAGGTGACTGGTGGTAGTCGAATATAACCATATCCTGAAAGTGGTACAATCTATGAAAAGGTTGAAAAGCCCTGCTTTAAATGTTATATTTTGTTTATTAGTGTTATAGCCCCATTGGCCATTAATATAACTCTTTTTTAAAATTTCAAAATTATTTTCATTCTTTCTCTTTTCTTATTTTGTGTAGTAGAAAGGTTATCCTGCTGATCAATTGTCCCTGTCCTTTGGCAGAATATTGTGTTTTTTCTCTCGATACTTCCAGTTTGACAAACACTCCATATTCCTTGGTTCCTGGGTGTACTAAGTTGCCATACAAAGTTTCTCTCCCCCCCCTAATATTTTCCCTCAGGATATATTTTGTGAACTTTGGGTATTGCCCAATTTAGTCTCACATTCTGTTTGATATGGATGTTGTCATTTTATTTTACATATCCAGATTGCAGTCATGATTTTTCTCTTCAAATGTACATAAACTCTGCTCAGCGCAACCAGTACCTTGTTCTCATCCCATGCTTGAATTTCTCTGCGTATTTGTAATGTTAACTGAAGATAATAAATTCTATTCAAAATATACTGTATACCGTAGTCTGCATTCTATGATGTATTTCTTTCTTGTGATCAAAGGTGCTCTCCTTGGTCTATGGATCTCTGGGTCCAGCGCAGGATGAACGGATCGGGGGCTGAACATCGGAAGGTGCCTGGTAGCACGTTTTCCAACCGACACATTTCCTTGCAAAACGAGAGCTTTGTGAATACAGCCGCCTCCGTCAGATGCAGAGACTGACGCAGGATGGAAATTGGAGAGAGCGACGGGAGGGGAAGGAAGGTTGGATCCGGGGCTGCAAATGAGGGGAAGTCTCACCCTCTGCCTCGCCATGGAGGTCGGCAGGATGGCTGGAACAGAGAGGTTCCTTTCCTCTATGCTCCCTTCCTGGAGAGGGGACTTGCTCTCTAGGCCACTGGTCGGCAACACGTGGCTCCAGAGCCACACGTGGCTCTTTCAGCCTTCTCCTGTGGCTCCCAGCCTCCTCTGCCATTTACAGAGACAGAGAGAGGCACTTGCGCTTCCCTTCTCTCTCTGTGTGTGTGTTTCCGTGTGTCTAAAAAAAAGAGAGTGGCCTCACGCTGTTCCGATGAGCTGACAAGCTTATTGGGTGGGGCTCCTGCCTTTGCTGTGTCTCTGTAGGAAGCAGGAAGGGCAGAAGAGAGCCAGCCCAATAATGTGTGTCAGCTTGTTGGAGAACAGCCTGAAGCCAGCTTGACAGAGTGAGTAGAAGTTCAGAAAGAAGGAGATGGGGGGAGAGAAAGAGAGACAGGGAGAGAAAGAGAGGGAGAAGGGGAGAGAGAGAAAAAAGGGAGAAAGAGGGAGAGAAAAAAGAGAGAAAGATAGGTGGAGAAAGGGAGAAAAAGAGGGAGAAAAAAGGGAGAAGGGGAGAGAAAAAAGAGGGACAGAAAAAGAGAGGGAGAGGAAGAGAAAAGAGGGAGAGAAAAAGGGAGAGGAGAGAAAGGGAGAGGAAAGAGGAAAGGAGAGGGAGAAAAAAGGGAGAGGGGGAGGAAAGAGAAAGGGAGAGAGATGGGGAGGAAAGTGCAAGAGAGAAAGAGAGAAAGGGAAAGAGGGAGAGGAAAGAAGAAAAAGAGGGAGAGAGAAAGAAAGGGAGGGGAGAAAGGGAAAGAAAAGGAAAGAGGGAGAAAGAGAAAAAAGGGGAGGTAGAGAGAAAGAGAAAGGGAGGGAGGGAAAGGGGAGAGGAAAGAGGAAAAGAGAGAAAAAGGGAGAGAAAAAAGAGGGAAAGATAGGTAGAGAGGAGGAGAAAGAAAAAGGAAGAGGGCAAGAGAAAGAGGGAAAGAGAAAAAAGGGAGAGAGGGAAAGAAAAAAGGGACAGACCGAGAGAGAAAAAGAGAGAGGGAGAGGGAGGAGGAAAGAAATCAAGAGAGGGAGAAGAAAGAGAGAGAGGCAGGTGAAATAGAGAGGAAAGGGAGAGAGAACAAGAGAAAGGGAGGGAAGAGGGAGACGGAGAGGGAGAGAAAGAGGGAGAGTGGGAGATAGAAAAAGAGGATAGGGAGAGAGGGAGGAAAGAGCAACAGGGAGAGAGAAAAAAGACGGAAAGAGGGAGAGAGGGGGAGGAAAGAGAAAAAGGAAAGAAAAAGAAAGGGAGAGAAAGGGAAAGAAAAAAAGAGGAAAGTGAAAGGGAAAGAGAAAAAGAAAAATGAGTGAGGTAGGAAAGAGGAAAGGGAAAGGAAAGAGGAAAGAAAGAGGGAGAAAAAGGGAGGAAAGGGAGAGAGGAAAGAGGAAGAGTGAAAAAGAGTGAAGGAGGGAGAGAGAAAAAAGGGAGAGGGGGAGGAAAGACAGGGAGAGGAAAGAGCAAGAGAGGGAGAAAGGAAAGAGAAAAAAGGGAGAGAAAAAGGGAGAAAGAGAAAGGGAGAGACGGGAGGAGAGGGAGAAGAGAAAAAGGGAGAGAGAGAGAGAGGAGGGAGGGGGAGAAAAAGGAAAGGGAAAGAAAGGAAAGAATGAGGGAGAGAAAAGGGAAATAGGGAGAGGGAGGGAGAGGGGGAAGAGACAGAAAGAGGGAAAGAGGAAAGGGAGAGAAAGGGAGAAAGACAGAAAAGAGTGAGAAAAAAAGGGAGAGGGAGAACGAAAAAGTGAAGGAGAGAAAGAAAGAAAGGGAGAGGGAGGAAAGACAGGAGAGGAAAGAGAAAAAGGAGGGAGAGAAAAAGAAAGGGAGAGGGAAAGTGAAAGGGAGAGGAAAGAGAAAAAGGGAGAGGGAGAGAGTGAAGGAAAGGGAGAGGAGAGAGGGAGAGAAAAAGAGAGTAATGAGGAGGGAAAGGAAAGAGGGAGAGAAAAAAGAAAAAGGACGAGAGAGAGGGGAAGAGACACAGAAAGAGGGAGAGGAAAAAGCAAGAGAGAGGGAAAGAGGAAAGGAAAAAACAGAAAGAGAGAAGAGACAGGAAAGAGAGAGGGTGAGGAGAGAGAGAGAGAGAGAGAGAGAGAGAGAGAGAGAGAGAGAGAGAGAGAGAACTCATGCACAGCAGCCTCTATTTCTCTTTAATTAAACTCTTCAATCAAGCTCTCCCCCCCCCCCTCGCGCGAACGTGGACAACTTTTGCAGCTCCCAGTGTTTTCTTTTCTCTGGGAGACGGGTCCAAGTGGCTCTTTGAGTGTTTAAGGTTGCAGACCCCTGCTCATTTGATGGCCCGTAACCAATTTATCAAGAATTTGTATAACTAAAGATCAAGAATAAGCTAAAAATATTTATTTTATATGATAAAAAATAGACTTCTCAGAATAGGAATTTGCATATATTTTAAACAGGAATTATATTTTTCGCCTTTACGTTTATAATATAAATATATTTATAATTTAACATCCAATACTTTGGTGGCCACTATCGCCTCTCTCTTCAGAAGGGCTCTTTCTACCCTCCCTGGATTTATATGCTCTTTATGAGAATTGTGTTTTCCAAGTAAAACTATTTCCACATACTGTGCATTAATGCATTCCATCCCCAGTGTGGATCCTTTCATGACAATTTAAGATGAGCTTTCCCAGTATAGCTTTTTCCAGTCTATCTACTTATATGATTGCTTCCCACTATGAATCCTTTGGTGGCAAATAAGATGACTTTTGCTAATGAAACTCTTTCCACATTCCATACATTTATTCGGTCTGTCCCCAGTATGGATGCTTTCATGAAGATTAAGATATCCTTTCCGGGTAAAGCACTTTCCACATTTCATGCATTTATACGGTCTGTCCCCAGTGTGGATCCTTTTGTGACGATTAAGATTTCCTTTCCGGGAAAAAGTCTTTCCACATTCCATGCATTTATAGGGTCTCTCCCCGGTGTGGATCCTTTCGTGACGATTAAGATCTCTTTTCCAGGTAAAGGTCTTTCCACATTCCATGCATTTATACGGACTGTCCCCAGTGTGGATCCTTTTGTGACGGTTAAGATCTCTTTTCCAGGTAAACGTCTTTCCACATTCCTTGCATATATACGGTCTGTCCCCAGTGTGGATCCTCTCATGAAGATTAAGATATCCTTTCCGGGAAAAACTCTTTCCACATTCCATGCATTTATATGGTCTCTCCCCAGTGTGGATCCTCTCATGAAGATTAAGATATCCTTTCTGGGTAAAGCTCTTTCCACATTCCATGCATTTATACGGTCTGTCCCCCGTGTGGATCCTTTTGTGATGATTAAGATGTCCTTTCTGAGTAAAGGTCATTCCACATTCCATGCATTTATATGGTCTGTCCCCAGTGTGCATCCCCTCATGAAGATTAAGATATCCTTTCCGGGTAAAGCTCTTTCCACATTCCATGCATTTATACGGTCTGTCCCCAGTGTGGATCCTATTGTGATGGTTAAGATCTCCTTTCTGGGTAAAGCTCTTTCCACATTCCATGCATTTATAAGGTCTCTCCCCAGTGTGGATCCTTTTGTGACGATTAAGATCTCCTTTCTGAATAAAGCTCTTTCCACATTCCATGCATTTATACGGTCTCTCCCCTGTGTGGATCCTTTCGTGATGATTAAGATGTCCTTTCTGGTTAAAGGTCTTTCCACATTCCATGCATTTATAGGGTCGCTTCCCAGTGTGGATCTTTTGGTGACAAATACAATTACTGTTTCTATTGAAACTCTTTCCACATTCCATACATTTATACGAGTGGATTTTTTGGTGACAAATAAGATGACTGTTTCTAATGAAACTCTTTCCACATTCCGTGCATTTGTACGGTCTCTCCCCAGTGTGGATCCTTTTGTGATGAATAAGATGTACTTTCTGGGTAAAAGTCTTTCCACATTCCATGCATTTAAACGGTCTCTCCCCAGTGTGGATCCTTTCGTGACGATTAAGATCTTCTTTCTTGGTAAAGCTCTTTCCACATTCCATGCATTTATATGGTCTGTCCCCAGTGTGGATCCTTTGGTGGCAAATAAGTTTACTTTTCCTACTGAAACTCGTTCCATACTGCATGCAGACTTTCCTTTTTCTGCTCAGACTGGAACCCGCCCCAGTTTTTACAGAGATATGTGGTTTGCATTTCCCATAAAGTGTTTTGGGTGAAGTAGAAGCGAATGAGTTATTCTCCATAGTCTCTACAGGCATGCAGGGTTTTTTTAGTCTGGTTTCTGACATAGTTAGGTAATTCAAATTCATATTTTCTTTTTTTCTATATTTTCCTTTTCTCATTTCTTTTTGATCTTGCTGGGATAGGAATCCATGAATACCAAGAGAAGTGGATGTCGTCTCCCCTCCATTTTCTGACTCTTTTCTCTTTAGCCTTTTGAGTAGATTTAACCTTGCCCCCTTGTCGTTCTCATTCACAGACTCCTCATCTGCATGGAAAAAAAGACTTTGATTAGACTTTAGAAGCTCCCCCGCCTGCAAAAACATGCCAATCTGCGTTGCAGGTTTAGTACAATCCATTTGTCCAGTCAGGATGTGAGATCTGCAATTTTTTATCTAGTAGTCTCCTGACTGTATAGAAAGAATGATTTGAGCCAAAGAACAGGTAAAGCTTTGGTGTTGATCAGTCAATCTATTCAGTCACTTCCATGGAGTATCTAGGACATTTCTCAATTCTACAGTGAATATTTCTATAATGGCCTTATAGAGAATTAAAGAGCCTGGCCTTACCAAGAGCAGCCTTATTCCTAGAAAACTCCTGCACGACTTCTCTGCACAAGGCCTTCTGGCCAGAATCTAGCAGCCTCCACTCCTCATCCGTGAAGTCCACAGTCACCCCCTTAAAGGAATCAGAGTTCTAGAAAGAGAAAAAGAAAAAAGTCTTGCTGACCAAATTCCTGAGAAAATAAGATATAGCGACTAGAAACGTCTTTCCTAACCTATTTTAAATTTTATTTAAAGCCACTTAATGTTGACTTACTGGCTTATCCTTCATATGCTATATTTATTTTGTTATACTTACATTACAAGGGAGATAGGTGGCATAAATATTTAATAAAATAAACGCTTCTCAGGTATGTTTAATGTTACTGTTTAACAGTAACAGTATGTTACTGTTTCAATTCATGGGTTTCCTTTCTATCTATTTTAGGCACTCTTAATATTCAGAAATATTAAACTCTTTCTACAATTAAATTACACTTCTAATACAAAGTTCCTACTTGTGAATTGTCTGGTTTGCATTTCCAGCACAATCTTGAAAGCGAAATGTGAGTGGACTGTGTTCAAGTGCACATAGACTCAGCTTTTGGTATTAAACACAGCTCCTGAATGGATGGAGCTGGAACGCTACTGTTCTCAGAAGAAACCTGCACTTACCTGGCAAGGTGGCCAGAGTTGGATCCTCCAGAAAAACAGCTCCTGAATAGAGCGGAATAGATCTCCTCTCCCTCGGAGCTCTGCTGAAATCTCCTCTGTGAATGGCTCCTGCATCAGAAGAACAAGCTAGTTCATAATCCACTTTCAGAGGACCATATCCATGTTAGTTTGCATTCCTTACCTTTTCCTTCTCTACCTATATTTCCCCAACCCAATTCAGAGACACTTCTGAGTAAATGAAGAATAGGGATTTTGTTTTTATGTACATAAAATGTAAGGGTGCATTAATTAGCTTGTTTCTCTTACTATTGAGGTATATTATACTACTTATTAAACATGGCTCTCTGTCAGAGGCCATTCACATAATCCAGTTGCTTCCCCTTTATCAGGTAACAGCAGATCACAAAGTAAACACTGATCATAATGAAATATGTGGATACTCTCACGAAGGATACAAAGGTGTAAAAGGATAAATTAATTTAGGAAACTGAAGCATTTGCCTCAAGAAGAAATCAATTCTTCAAAGGTGAGGAATTCCAGAAAAGGCTGCAGAGTCATATTTTTAATCTCCCTTATTAGAGATACGGCTAACCCTTCCTCTCCCCTTCCCGCCCCCCATGGAGTTCCCAGGACGAAGCCCTCCCCCCCCGCCCTCCTCACCTGCCCCTTTCCCGGCTCTTCCCGCTGCGCTTGGCTGAGGAGGAAGCCTTCGGCCAGGGCCACCGCCTGCGAACAGTTCTCGGCTCCGCACTCCCTCACCCAGCTCGCCATCTCCGCGGGCAGCAGGGCCAGCAGCTGCTCCAGCACCACCAGGTCCAGCATCTCCCCTTTGCTGCTCCTCTCCGGCCGCAGCCACTGGCGGCACAGGCGGTGCAGGCGGCTGCAAAGCTCCCGGGGCCCCTCGGCCTCCTGGCGGCAGCCGTCGAGACCGCGGAAGCGCCGGCGGTGGATCTCTGGGCTGAGGGCGGCCTCCATCCCTGGGGATCCCTGGGCCTCCATCGGGTCTCCTGCTCGAGGGCAGCCACAAGAAGCCCGAGAAAGTCCCAAATGTCCCCCGGCCTCTCCGAAACCCCTTCTCCGGTTTGCAGGAGGGCAGAAACGGGTCTCCGCTCACTCGGGCTTTACCCGCCCGAGGAGAGCAACGGCAAATTCCTTCCAACCAATTTCCTGGGCGCTCTTTTATGCCTTGTGGACTTCAACTGGTACGCTGGCTGAGGAATTCTGGGAGTTGAAGTCCAGAAGTCAAAAGGGCCAATTCTAAAGGCCTCTGCCCAACAAGGAGCCAGAATGAGAGATATTTGCTTCCTAGAGTGGACCTAGAAGGAAGAGAATCAAAGGGCATTTTCCTTTTCCGGCCTCCCTGAATGTTACGTCACTTCTCTTCTTCAGAGAGGGCGGAAGCGGAAGCTGGGACGACGATGCTTGCAAAGGGCAGGGAAGGACCGATGATCTCGGCGTCGCCCCACTTCATCGCCCGCTTGCTCCTGCCCAGGTGCTGCGCCCTGCGGGAAAATCGGGAAACCTCCGCTTAAAGGAACAAGCTAAAACAAATTCTTAATTCCATATAACAACTAAATGGACTTCTCAGAGTAACAATTTGCATGTTTTACACAGGAATTATACTTTTTTCCTTTAGGTGTTGAATTTACAACATCAAAATAGTTATGATTTATTATTTAAGATCCAAAGTTTTGTGAGAAAGTTTTCCGTGGTTTGGGTCTCCAGAGTTTCGTCTCAGGCAGAAGAAATGACACAGAATGAAGCTGCCAGAAAGTAGGTTTATTTACAGAAGCCAAAGGGAGTAATGGTACAACGATGGTTTCTGGACTAGCTAGTACTTTTCCAAGGTGAGGGGTCCTGTTCTTATACCTCTCAAGTTATTGAGGTTATGATTTGCCTTTTGGAAAGATTTTTGTTCATTTAATTTCATCTAGTTTGTGTCTGATTGGACCGGTAACGATTAAAATTGTCCTCGGGAATTATTTGTTTATGCAAATGGGTTTCTCCATATGGTTTGTGTCTGTCTTGTGTTACAAAAGTTTAAGTGAGGTTGATGGGTTTAATTGTTTTCTAAGACACCCTGTTTTGCTATCCTCTTTTAGTTTGGCAGTTTATCCAGAATTGTTCAGGGCGGGGGAAAGGAGAATGAGAGATAGGAAAAAAAATCCTTTTCTTTGGTCTTTTACATTTGATTAGGCTTATCCCTTAAATGAGGGGTGTCAAACTCAATTTCATTGAGGGCCACATCAGCATTGTGGTTGCCCTGGGGGTGTGTGGCCTACTGGGTGGGTGTGGATGGATTGGGTGTGGCCTATTGGGTGGGCATGGCCAGCTCTACATCGTTCGCGTCAAGGGTGCCTGTGGGGGCCTGGGCAGGAGTGGGATAGATCTGAGGGTCTCTAGCAGAAGGGGGTGGCAAGTGCCAAGGCATGGTACACTGGAGGAGCCTCACTGCCTGCTGAAACCCCTCCGTTAGAGCCCATCAAGCCGGATATGTGAAGTAGGTTAGGGCCATTTACTGGCCACTTCAGGAAATAGTGCATTTCTTCATTCCTCACGAAGGGTGACACCTCCCCAGCTGCGTTTCTTGCCTGTTTTTCTCCCTCATCTCAAATATTTTCCACCACTCTGAACTTAGGAAGGAAAGAAGGAAAGGAGATGGAAGGTCTGAGAGAACTCTTGCTTTAGTCCTGCCCTGCTGTCCTTTCACCATCCCCTTGCGCCCTCCTCCTGGCCTATCCTGGGGATCTCCCATCTATTGCTAAGGAAGCTTTGGATATAAAGCCGTCTCTACTCCCATGGAGAGGGAGTTTGCCTCCCTCTGACTTTGCCCTCATACCCATCATGAGCAACCTGGCTAAGGAGAGCAATCACAGCAGCAGCAGCCTTGAGGCGGTAAATGCAGCTGGGCGCCACCTTGGGCAAGTGGGGCTGGGCTTGGTGCCGCAGGTGCTTGCGGGGCAGGCTGGGCATTTGACCTCTGCTGCCCAGGGCTCCAGGCAGCCCACACCACCATCCAGCCCTCCCCCCCGTCATGGCCTGAGAGGAACAGTGAGGCTCCTCCAGTGGACCATGCTTTGGCACTTGCCCTGGTCCCATCCCCTTCTGCCAGAGACCCTCAGATCTGTCCTGCCCAGGCCCCCACAGGCCCCCTTGACACGAACGATGTAGAGCTGGCCATGTCCACCCAGTAGGCCACACCCACTTCATCCACACCCAGCCAATAGGCCACACCCACCCTGGCCACACCCCCCCAGGGCAACCGCAATGCTGATGCAGCCCTCAATGAAATTGAGTTTGCCACCCCTGTGTTAGGGGAATCACTGAAATTGTTAAATTAGTTACACAGTTCTTAAGCGAATCTGGTTTCCCCATGGTCTTTGATTGTCAGAAGGTTGCAAAACAGGATCACATGACCACGGGACCATCACAAATATGAATCAGTTGCCAAGCATTCAGATATAAATCACGTGACCCTGGGGATGCTGCAACAGTCATAAGTGTAAAAATTGGTCAGAAATCATTTTCTGTGCCGTTCTGACTTTGAACAGTCACAAAGCGAACTGTTGTAAGTCGAGGGCCACCTGTACTTTATCACTTTTCCCTTTTTTTTGGTCAAGTTTTTGATACCTTGCTAGGTGACTGGTGGTAATCGAATATAGCCATATCCTGAAAGTGGTACAATCTGTGAAAAGGTTGAAAAGCCCTGCTTTAAATGTTATATTTTGTTTATTAGTGTTATAGCCTCATTGGCCATTAATATAACTCTTTTTTAAAATTTCAAAATTATTTTCATTCTTTCTCTTTTCTTATTTTGTGTAGTAGAAAGGTTATCCTGTTGATCAATTGTCCCTGTCCTTTGGCAGAATATTGTGTTTTTTCTCTCGGTACTTCCAGTTTGACAAACACTCCATATTCCTTGGTTCCTGGGTGTACTAAGTTGCCATACAAAGTTTCTCTCCCCCCCCCCCCTAATATTTTCCCTCAGGATATATTTTGTAAACTTTGGGTATTGCCCAATTTAGTCGCACATTCTGTTTGATATGGATGTTGTCATTTTATTTTACATATCCAGATTGCAGTCATGATTTTTCTCTTCAAATGTACATAAACTCTGCTCAGCGCAACCAGTACCTTGTTCTCATCCCATGCTTGAATTTCTCTGCGTATTTGTAATGTTAACTGAAGATAATAAATTCTATTCAAAATATACTGTATACCGTAGTCTGCATTCTATGATGTATTTCTTTCTTGTGATCAAAGGTGCTCTCCTTGGTCTATGGATCTCTGAGTCCAGCGCAGGATGAACGGATCGGGGGCTGAACATCGGAAGGCGCCTGGTAGCATCTTTTCCAACCATTTCCTTGCAAAACGAGAGCTTTGTGAATACAGCCGCCTCCGTCAGATGCAGAGACTGACGCAGGATGGAAATCGGAGAGAGCGATGGGAGGGGAAGGAAGGTTGGATCCGGGGCTGCAAACGAGGGGAAGTCTCACCCTCTGCCTCGCTGTGGAGGTCGGCAGGATAGCTGGAACAGAGAGGTTCCTTTCCTCTATGCTCCCTTCCTGGAGAGGGGACTTGCTCTCTAGGCCACTGGTCGGCAACCCGCGGCTCCAGAGCCACACGTGGCTCTTTCAGCCTTGTCCTGTGGCTCCCAGCCTCCTCTACCATTTACAGAGACAGAGAGAGGCACTTGCGCTTCCCTTCTCTCTCTGTGTGTGTCTGTGCGTCTAAAAAAAAGAGAGTGGCCTCATGCTGTTGCGACGAGCTGACATGCTTATTGGGTGGGGCTCCTGCCTTTGCTGTGTCTCTGTAGGAAGCAGGAAGGGCAGAAGAGAGCCAGCCCAATAATGTGTGTCAGCTTGTTGGAGAACAGCCTGAAGCCAGCTTGACAGAGTTAGCAGAAGTTCAGAAAGAAGGAGATGGGGGGAGAGAGAGAGACAGGGAGAGAAAGAGAGAAAGGGAGAGAGAAAGAAAAAGGGAGAGAGAAAGAGGGAGAGAAAAAAGAGAGAAAGATAGGTGGAGAAAGGGAGAAAAAGAGAGAGAAAAAAGGGAGAAGGGGAGAGAAAAAAGAGGGACAGAAAAAGAGGGAGAGGAAGTGGAAGAGAAAAGAGAGGGAGAAAAAAGGGAGAGGGGGAGGAAAGAGAAAGGGAGAGATGGGGAGGAAAGTGCAAGAGAGAAAGAGAAAAAGAGGGAGAGAGAAAAAGAAAGGGAGAGGGAAGAAAGAGAAGGAAAGAAAAAGGAAAAGAGGGAGAAAAGAGAAAAAAGAGGGGAGGTAGAGAGAAAGAGAAAGGGAGGGGAGGAAAGAGAGGGAAAGGAAAAGAGGAAGAGAGAAAAAGGGAGAGAAAAAAGGGAAAGATAGGTAGAGAGGAGGGGAAAGAAAAAGGAAGAGGGCAAGAGAAAGGGAAAAAAAGGGAAAGAGGGAAAGAAAAAAGGGACAGCAAGAGAAAAAGAGAGGGAGAGAGGGGGGAGGAAAGAGATCAAGAGAGGGAGAAGAAAGAGAGGCAGGTGAAATAGAGAGAAAGGGAGAGAGAACAAGAGAAAGGGAGGGAAGAGGGAGAAAGGGAGAGGGAGAGAAAGAGGGAGGATAGAAAAAGACAGGATAGGGAGAAAGGGAGGAAAGCAACGGAGAGAGGGGGAGGAAAGAGAAAAAGGAAAGAGAAAAAGAGGAAAGTGAAAGAGGGAAAGAGAAAAAGAAAAATGAGTGAGGGAGGAAAGAGGAAAGGGAAAGGAAAGAGAAGAGAGGAAAGAAAGGGAGAAAAAGGGGGAGGAAAGGGAGAGAGGAAAGAGGAAGAGTGAAAGAGTGAAGGAGGGAGAGAAAAAAGGGAGAGGGGAAGTGGGGGAGGAAAGAGGGAGAGGAAAGAGGGAGAGGGAGAAAGGAAAGAGAAAAAAGGGAGAAAAGGGGAGAAAGAGAAAGGGAGACGGGAGGAGAGGGAGAAGAGAAAAAGGGAGAGAGGGAGAGAAAGGGAGGGGGAGAAAAAGGAAAGAAAGAATGAGGGAGAGTAAAGGGAAAAAGAGGGAAATAGGGAGGGAGGGAGAGGGGGAAGAGACAGAAAGAGGGAAAGAGCAAGAGAGGGAAAGAGGAAAGGGAGAGAAAGGGAGAAAGAAGAGACAGAAAAGAAAGAGTGAGAGAAAAAAGGGAGAAAGGGAGAGGGAGAGAACAAAAAAGCGTGAAGGAGAGAAAGAAAAAGAGGGAGAGAAAGGGAGAGGGAGGAAAGACAGGAGAGGAAAGAAAGAAAAAGGGAGAAAAAGGGAGAGGGAAAGTGAAAGGGAGAGTGAAGGAAAGGGAGAGGAGAGAGGGAGAGAAAAAGAGTAATGAGGGAAAGAGGAAAGGGAGAGAAAAAAGAAAAAGGACGAGAGAGAGGGGAAGAGACACAGAAAGAGGGAGAGAGGAAAGGGAAAAACAGAAAAAGAGAAGAGACAGGAAAGAGAGAGGGTGAGGGGAGAGAGAGAGAGAGAACTCATACACAGCAGCCTCTATTTCTCTTTAATTAAACTCTTCAGTCAAGCTCCCCCCCCCCTCGCGCAAACGTGGACAACTTTTGCGGCTCCCAGTGTTTTCTTTTCTCTGGGAAAAGGGTCCAAGTGGCTCTTTGAGTGTTAAAGGTTGCAGATCCCTGCTCATCTGATGGCCCGTAACCAATTTATCAAGAATTTGTATAACTAAAGATCAAAAATAAGCTAAAAATATTTATTTCATATGATAAAAAATAGACTTCTCAGAATAGCAATCTGCATATATTTTAAACAGGAATTATATTTTTCGCCTTTACGTGTTGAATTTATAATATAAATATATTTATTATTTAACATTCAATACTTTGGTGGCCACTATTGCCTCTCTTCAGATTTATATGCTCTCTATGAGAACTGTGTTTTCCAAGTAAAGCTATTTCCACATACTGTGCATTAATGCATTCCATCCCCAGTGTGGATCCTTTCATGACAATTTAAGATGAGCTTTCCCAATATAGCTTTTTCCAGTCTATCTACTTATATGGTCGTTTCCCACTGTGAATCCTTTGGTGGCAAGTAAGATGAGTTTTCCTAATGAAACTCTTTCCACATTCCATGCATTTATTCGGTCTGTCCCCAGTGTGGATCCTCTCATGAAGATTAAGATATCCTTTCCGGGAAAAGGTCTTTCCACATTCCATGCATTTATAGGGTTTCTCCCTGGTGTGGATCCTTTCATGAAGATTAAGATCTCTTTTCCAGGTAAAGGTCTTTCCACATTCCATGCATTTATACGGTCTATCCCCAGTGTGGATCCTCTCATGAAGATTAAGATATCCTTTCTGAGTAAAGGTCATTCCACATTCCATGCATTTATACGGTCTGTCCCCAGTGTGCATCCCCTCATGAAGATTAAGATATCCTTTCCGGGTAAAGCTCTTTCCACATTCCATGCATTTATAAGGTCTCTCCCCGGTGTGGATCCTTTTGTGACGATTAAGATCTCCTTTCTGAATAAAGCTCTTTCCACATTCCATGCATTTATACGGTCTCTCCCCTGTGTGGATCCTTTCGTGATGATTAAGATGTCCTTTCTGGTTAAAGGTCTTTCCACATTCCATGCATTTATACGGTTGCTTCCCAGTGTGGATCTTTTGGTGACAAATACGATTACTGTTTCTATTGAAACTCTTTCCACATTCTGTGCATTTGTACGGTCTCTCCCCAGTATGGATCCTTTTGTGATGAATAAGATGTACTTTCTGGGTAAAAGTCTTTTCACATTCCATGCATTTATATGGTCTCTCCCCAGTGTGGATCCTTTGGTGGCAAATAAGTTTACTTTTCCTACTGAAACTCTTTCCACACTGCATGCAGACTTTCCTTTTTCTGCTCAGACTGGAACCCGCCCCAGTTTTTACAGAGATATGTGGTTTGCATTTCCCATAAAAAAATTTTGGTGAAGTAGAAGCGAATGAGTTATTCTCCATAGTCTCTAGAGGCATGCAGGGTTTTTTTAGTCTGGTTTCTGCCATAGTTATGTAATTCAAATTCATGTTTTCTTTTTTTCTATATTTTCCTTTTCTCATTTCTTTTTGATCTTGCTGGGATAGGAAGCCATGAATACCAAGAGAAGTGGATGACTTCTCCCCTCCATTTTCTGACTCTTTTCTCTTTAGCCTTTTGGTGTCCCTCTGATGGCCAAGGATTAATTTTACTTCTTTCTTCTCTATTTTGGGTAGATTTAATCTTGCCTCCTTGTCAATCTCATTCACAGACTCATCATCTGCATGGAAAAAAAGACTTTGATTAGACTTTAGAAGCTCCCCCGCCTACAAAAACATGCCAATCTGCGTTGCAGGTTTAGTACAATCCATTTGTCCAGTCAGGATGTGAGATCTGCAATTTTTTATCTAGTAGTCTCCTGACTGTATAGAAAGAATGATTTGAGCCAAAGAACAGGTGTTGGTGTTGATCAGTCAATCTATTCAGTCACTTTCATGGAGTATCTAGGACATTTCTCAATTCTATGGTGAATATTTCTACTACGGCCTTATAGAGAATTGAACAGCCTGGCCTTACCCAGAGCAGCCTTATTCTTAGAAAACTCCTGCACGACTTCTCTGCACAAGGCCTTCTGGCTGGAATCTAGCAGCCTCCACTCCTCATCTGTGAAGTCCACAGTCATCCCCTTAAAGGAATCAGGGCTCTAGAAAGAAAAAAAGAAAAAAGCCTCGCTGACCAAATTCCTGAGAAAACAAGACAGCGACTAGAAACATCTTTCCTAACCTATTTTAAATTTTATTTAAAGCCACTTAATGTTGACTTACTGGCTTATCCTTCATATGCTATATTTATTTTGTTATACTTACATTACAAGGGAGATAGGTGGCATAAATATTTAATAAAATAAACGCTTCTCAGGTATGTTTAATGTTACTGTTTAACAGTAACAGTATGTTACTGTTTCAATTCATGGGTTTCATTTCTAACTATTTTAGGCACTCTTTTGAATATTCAGAAATTATAAACTCTTTCTACAATTAAATTACACTTCTAATACAAAGTTCCTACTTGTGAATTGTCTGGTTTGCATTTACAGCACAATCTTGAAAGCCAAATGTGAGTGGACTGTGTTCAAGTGCACATAGACTCAGCTTTTGGTATTAAACACAGCTCCTGAATGGATGGAGCTGGAACGCTACTGTTCTCAGAAGAAACCTGCACTTACCTGGCAAGGTGGCCAGAGGTGGATCCTCCAGAAAAACAGCTCCTGAATAGAGCTGGATCGATCTCCTCTGCCCCGGAGCTCTGCTGAAATCTCCTCTGTGAACGGCTCCTGCATCAGAAGAACAAGCTAGTTCATAATCCACTTTTAGGGGACCATATCCATGTTAGTTTCAGAGACACTTCTGAGTAAATGAAGAATAGGGATTTTGTTTTTATGTACATAAAATGTAAGGGTGCATTAATTAGCTTGTTTCTCTTACTATTGAGGTATATTATACAACATATTAAACATGGCTCTCTGTCAGAGGCCATTCACATAATCCAGTTGCTTCCCCTTTATCAGGTAACAGCACATCACAAAGTAAACACTGATCATAATGAAATATGTGGATACTCTCACAAAGGATACAAAAGCGTAAAAGGATAAATTAATTTAGGAAACAGAAGCATTTGCCTCAAGAAGAAATCAATTCTTCAAAGATGAGGAATTCCAAAAAAGGCTGCAGAGTCATATTTTTAATCTCCCTTATTAGACATACGGCTAACCCTTCCTCTCCCCTTCCCGCCCCCCATGGAGCTCCCAGGATGAAGCCCCCCCGCCCTCCTCACCTGCCCCTTTCCCGGCTCTTCCCGCTGGGCTTGGCTGAGGAGGAAGCCTTCGGCCAGGGCCACCGCCTGCGAACAGCTCTCGGCTCCGCACTCCCTCACCCAGCTCGCCATCTCCGCGGGCAGCAGGGCCAGCAGCTGCTCCAGCACCACCAGGTCCAGCATCTCCCCTTTGCTGCTCCTCTCCGGCCGCAGCCACTGGCGGCACAGGCGGTGCAGGCGGCTGCAAAGCTCCCGGGGCCCCTCGGCCTCCTGGCGGCAGCCGTCGAGACCGCGGAAGCGCCGGCGGAGGATCTCTGGGCTGAGGGCGGCCTCCATCCCTGGGGATTCCTGGGCCTCCATCGGGTCTCCTGCTCGAGGGCAGCCAAAAGAGGTCCGAGACGGTCCGAAATGTCGCCCAGCCCCTCCGAAACCCCTTCTCCGGTTTGCAGGAGGGCAGAAATGGGTCTCCGCTCACTCGGGCTTTACCCGCCCGAGGAGAGCAACGGCAAATCCTTCCAACCCATTTCCTGGGCGCTCTTTTATGCCTTGTGGACTTCAACTGGCACGCTGGCTGAGGAATTCTGGGAGTTGAAGTCCAGAAGTCAAAAGGGCCAATTCTAAAAGCCAGAATGAGAGATATTTGCTTCCTAGAGTGGACCTAGAAGGAAGAGAATCAAAGGGCATTTTCCTTTTCCGGCCTCCCTGAATATTACGTCACTTCTCTTCTTCAGAGAGGGCGGAAGCGGAAGTTGGGACGACGATGCTTGCAAAGGGCAGGGAAGGACCGATGATCTCGGCGTCGCCCCACTTCATCGCCCGCTTGCTCCTGCCCAGGTGCTGCGCCCTGCGGGAAAATCGGGAAACCTCCGCTTAAAGGAACAAGCTAAAACAAATTCTTAATTCCATATAACAACTAAATGGACTTCTCAGAGTAGCAATTTGCATGTTTTACACAGGAATTATACTTTTTTCCTTTAGGTGTTGAATTTACAATATCAAAATATCTGTGATTTATTATTTAAGATCCAAAGTTTTGTGAGAAAGTTTTCCGTGGTTCGGGTCTCCAGGTGGGAAGCAGAGTTTCAGCTCAGGCGGAAGAAATGACACAGAATGAAGCTGCCAGAAAGTAGGTTTATTTACAGAAGCCAAAGGGAGTAATGGTACAACGATGGTTTCTGGACTAGCTAGTACTTTTCCAAGGTGAGGGGTCCTGTTCTTATACCTCTCAAGTTATTGAAATTATAATTTGCCTTTTGGAAAGATTTTTTGTTCATTTAATTTCATCTAGTTTGTGTCTGTTTGGACCAGTAGCGATTAATATTGTCCTCGGGAATTATTTCTTTGTTTATGCAAATGGGTTTCTCCAAATGGTTTATGTCTGTCTTGTAAGTGTTACAAAAGTTCTACCTAGTGAGGTTGATGGGTTTAATTGTTTTCTAAGACACCCTGTTTTGCTATCCTCTTTTAGTTTGGCAGTTTATCCAGAATTGCTCAGGGCGGGGGAAAGGAGAATGAGAGATAGGAAAAAAATCCTTTTCTTTCATCTTTTACATTCGGTTTGGCTTATCCCTTAAATGAGGGGTGTCAAACTCAATTTCATTGAGGGCCACATCAGCATTGTGGTTGCCCTGGGGGTGTGTGGCCTACTGGGTGGGTGTGGATGGATTGGGTGTGGTCTATTGGGTGGGCATGGCCAGTTCTACATCGTTCGCGTCAAGGGTGCCTGTGGGGGCCTGGGCAGGAGTGGGATAGATCTGAGGGTCTCTGGCAGAAGGGGTGGCAAGTGCCAAAGCATGGTACACTGGAGGAGCCTCACTGCCTGCTGAAACCCCTCCCTTAGAGCCCATCAAGCCGGATATGTGAAGTAGGTGAGGGCCATTTGCTGGCCACTTCCAGGCAATGGTGCATTTCTTCATTCCTCACAAAGAGTGACACCTCCCCAGCATGGATCCAGGGGGTGGGGCCGACATGTCGGCGGCTGGTTCCTCGCTGTTTCCAGACGGCCTTGTGGAGCTAAGACTGAATGCGTTTCAGCATAAATGGCCACCACAAAATTGTATATTGGTTCCCAGTCGGTCTGGGCCAGGGCCAAGGCACTGGGGGCCGTTCCCTCACTTTTTCCAGGATGGCTTTGCGGGCCACTTGAAACCATTTCGCGAGCCACATCCGGCCCCTGGGCCTTGTGTTTGACATGTCTGCCTTAAATATTTCTTTTCCTGAGGTGTACCTCCTCCTTCCGGGGTTCATCTACATCTGTGATGGCAGGTTTATGGGTCGGGGTTTCCTTTAATTGTCAGATTTCTTTTTCTGTGAAGGAAATTGCCCATGTGTTTCAGGGTTTGGACTAATTCTGATGTCTGAAGTGTTTCCTTTGGGTGCTAATGGCTAGCTATCTCTCAGTTTTTGGAAAATCAAATCATTGTGCTCACTTTAAGTCTTCTGCTAAAAGACTAAAAGTGAACTCAGAATAAAAAGTTGCAAAGTTGGTTCTTATACTCACCCCTTAATTTAATAATTTGTTGTAGGAGGCTTTTCTCTGTCAGGTCAAGCATTACAGGTAGTTTGTAAATAGGAAACAAGAACTGCTTACTTCCAGTCCCAACTCAACTCTGGCTGTTACAATGGGGTTTGGGAGATAAATTCCTGTGAAGAGGGAAGCCACCTGCAAAATTAAGCATTTGTACAGTAGTTTGATTGTTCCTTTGATGAATTTTAACTTTTGTTGCTTCAGAGGTATAATTTTATTGCTATATATATTTGTATTTTTTTAATGATTATGATGATGATGATGAAGAAGTTGGAAAGGACCTTGGAGATCATCTAGTCCAACTCCCTGCTCAGGCAGGAAACACTATACCATTTCAGACAATTGGCTATCCAGTCTCTTCCTAAAAACTTCCATTGTTGGAGCATTGACAGCTTCTGGAGGCAGGTCATTCCACTGATTAGTTATTCTAACCATCAGGAAGTTTCTGCTTAGTTCTAGGTTACTACTCTCTTTGGATAGCTTCCATCCTTTGCTTGTTGTCCTGCCTTCAAGTGCTTTGGAGAATAGCTTGACTCTCTCTTCTTTGTGGCAACCCCTCAGATATTGGAACATGGCTATCTTGTCCCCACTCGTCCTTCTCTTAGACATACCCAATTCCAGCAACTGTTCCCTATATGTTTTACCTTCAGTCCCCTAATCATCTTTGTTGCTTTTCTCTCTACTCTTTCTAGAGTCTCAACATCTTTTTTACATCGTGGTGACCAAAACTGGATGCAGTAATCCAAATGTGGTCTTACTAAGGGATTGTAAAAATGTATTAGCACTTCATGTGATCTTGATTCTATCCCTCTGTTAATGCAGCCTAGCATTGTGTTGGATTTTTTGGCAGCTGCAGCACACTGCTGGCTCATATTTAAGTTGATTGTCAACTAGGACACCTAGATCCCTTTCACAGTTACTACTATTGAGCAAGGTACCACCCACACTACACCTGTGCATTTGTTTTTTTCTTGCCTAAATGTAGAACCTTACTTTTTTTCACCATTGAATTTCATTTTGTTAGATAGCACCTAATGGTCAAGTCTGTCATGATTCTTCTGTAGCTTAAGCCTCTCTTCTGGGTGTTGGCTATTCCTGCCAGCTTGATATCTTCTGCAAATTTGATGAGTTTCCCACCTATCCCTTGTCCAAATCATTGAGGAAGATGTTGAAGAGCACTGGGCCTCGAACAGAGCCCTGGGGCACCTCACTACATACTTTCCTCCATGTAGATGTAGTTCCATTGAGGACCACGCACTAAATACGTACCACATGCTATTTATTGCTTTTTTTTAAAAAAGTAATTTTATTAACAAATACAGGTTTCCAAACAGATTACAATGAATTACAGGAAGGTTTTTCCTTAACTACTGTTAAAGCTAAGCTTGCATTCAGTGTAAAAACTGAGAGGTAATAACACAATATCTGAAAAAATACATTTAAATAATTTTCATTCATACAGTGCTGTGTTCTAATCAAGACCAGAATGCAGCAATTCCATAAACTATTATAAAAATTCTTCCATATATTTTTCTATAAACATTTGACAGCTTAAATATAAATACATTTCCACGATTAATATATTACAATCGTACTGTCAAAATATTTAAGCTTAATGTTAGTGTTTTTAAAAAAGTATTCAAATTACAATTCAACCAGCTATAAATTTGAGTATAGGAGCCGCAGCAAATGCCGCACACATTACAAGGAAAAAGTATGAAATGTTAGCTCTTGGAAGGCTCAATACAAGTAAGTTTTATTGTGTTTCAAAATTCTGAAAACTCAAAGAGTTCATAGTAACAAGATGCATAAGGCAACATGGACTTTAGCACTTTGGCTTTTATCCTCACCAATGTATATACATATTCCAATAAAATATTCAATATCTTTGCTTCCAACAAAACTAAAAGAACAAGCAGACTCTTTGTTACTGTGAACATAATCCAAAGCAAGAAATGCACTTAGAAAGAACTAATTCAGAAATCAGACATTATAATGTTTTTTTTTCTCATTCTACAGCTGGCTGGATTAGACAACTGTTTTCCGAGATTCGTAACCAGAATAGTCAAGAAGTGGAAGTGTTGGTGAAAGTTGTACTATCTTTATCAATGTCCAAAATATAGTCCTGTACTATCCTGTGCAGTACTTCTAATTTTGGATTATGTTAGTTTTTTTTATGATACTTGAAATCCATTTGACAAGTCCATTGGTTTAGAATAAGTATACTAGGTTTAACAGGCATTTTTGTATGGCTTTTGTAACTGCAATATTATTGTAGCATCATTCTGTAATCTGAGATTCCAATGTGCAGACTCTTTACATTCATTATTACGTTAATGTCATGTTTAAGAAAGCACAAATACTGGATGACAAGTCCAGTTTGATTTTTTTAAATGCCTTCCTAACAGAAGGACTAGAGATTCAGTGCAAGTTACTAATATTGATGAGGAAGATCAACATAAGAACCCTACAAAAATTTTGGTAAACACAATTCTAGCTTATTTGATACCTTGTAAATTGCTTTCTGTACTGGGCAATAAATTACCTGAAGTAATGAACTCAAGTGAGATGAACTCAAGACCATTTGTTTTATGAAAATAACACAGTGTTAGAACTCTGAAGAGGATGGATGATCAGAACAAGCAGGATTTGTGACAGTCTTTACTCTTTATTTTTCAAGCTCAAATTTAAAACAACTGACAAATTCAAACTACTTAAAAAAACAAGATTCTCCTCAGAAAGATCAATTTTATCAAGGATAAAATAGATGACCCTCCCAGACTAGACTGTTTTCCAATGCTGAACATTTGACACCACTGCTTATTAAAACTGAAGTAGGCAGGTTCCAATAGATCTTTCTTGATATTTTCAACACCTTAATTTTTCCCATGACTGCTCAACAATCACGTTTTGTGGGTAGGAAGATAAAACTCTCATTTATTG